ATAATATCATTGCTTATTGAATGATACTGCATTTCTTGGTTTGCCTGCTGTTTGCTGAAGCCACAGGAAGTATATCAGATTCTCCTCATAGGGTCACTTTAGCCAGTGCTCCGAAAATTGCTTCTGATGCTCCTACGGTTGTCCCTACTGCTGCAGCCTCAAAGAGAAATTTCGCAAGAGCTAATCCAAAGGCGAATCCTCCAGTAGTCAATAAAGGGGATGTTTTTCCAGTAATCATCCCCAGAACGGACCCAATATTTGAGCCGGTAGCTGAATCCAGAGCAGAACTTGACATTATTGGAAGAACTATGCCATATTCGCTGCAGTCAAAGGCGGCTGATTCTCGAAGGCTGTCGAGCAGCAGAAATGAGCCTGATCTACCAACCAGTTCGCTTCTTGAAAGGTCTGGGTCTCAGTCTATAGAACCAAGCAATTTACAAGATGGAAATATATATCCTAGTGACGAAGGTGGCACATGGGATACAGCTGAGAGAAAAAATAAAGATAACAGATACAGGGGATTTGGAAGGTTAAATGCAAGATCTTTTGTGGGATCACCTCAAAGCAATCATGACGAAAACTGTATGTTTAAGCGCCTTTCCAGTCTTCGTTTAGTTTAGAGCAAAAATGAATGGCATTTGATATTGTTTAACTATCTTGGCATCCTAAATGTGAGAACGTTTTTTTCTCCATATTTCAGCTGACTTGATTAGCTATAATGCAAACAGAGATCGAAGTCCTACTGAAAGTCCAAAAGGAGGTAACTCTTTCCCGACATCTTGCTTTTTTTCTTTCCGTTTTCATGTGTATGAATAGATTCTCAATATCTGCCTTGACTTACTAGGAAGACTGCATTCCCTCGCTCTAAATAGGGAAAGAAGAGGAAGATTTTCCAACTTTGAGGGTCCTGTTTCGAGCTTTTCCGGTGGAAACGCAAACATTCGCCCATCCCATATGGTAATGGCCTCAAATTTTAGTTTTCAATTTATTATGTCAGAGCAATAAAACTTGGACAAAATAAAGAGCAATGAGTACACAGTCGGACCTTTTTTTGTCTCAACTCAATTTTAACTGGTCGTGCATCTTCAGTGTGTTAGTATACATTAAATGTTCCTGTTACTAGTCTTCAACATCTCATCTAGTCAGGCTTCCGCTTGTGATCCTACAGAGATAATGATGACATTATTATTTCGTTTCACACAGCTCAAGCAGAGAGGAAACCATGCGTCAGTTGATCAAGGAACCACTTCTGCTAGTGAGGAAGATGTAGCTGCAGACATATTGGAGCAGCACGATCAATTTGTCAGCTCTATGCATTCTCGTTTTGCTAAGTTACAGGTAACATGAAGAAAGTAAAAATTATGCTGATGCTTTTGGTTCTGTCCTAATTCGAATGCTAGCTGTAACACTTCATTGTTTACCATAAGCATTATTTATCTTCTAAACAGTTTCGCCGAATTTTCAGGTAGTCCGCAGATATTGGGAAAGAAATGATATTAAAAACTCGATAAGTTCAATAGAGAAGATGGCTGATAATGCTGTAAGCAACTTCTGTTTGTCTAATTCATCTGGGTAAATACCACATATTGTCAAACAGGTTTTCCACTAACGCGAACTCAATATTTCAATTGGTACAGGTCGTTGCGGATGTGCTGGTTATAGTAACTGAGAGAGCTGAGATTTTGACACTGGATACTTGTACTTCTCTTCTTCCCCTTATGTCAGCTCTTCTAGGGAGCAACATGGATAGGTAATCAGTTCAATTTAAAGAAACTCATGACTACAAATCTGTAATTTTTTTCTAAACGCCGTTTCCTGTCTTTAGACATTTGAGTGTTTGCCTAGATCTGCTGCTTAAGCTGGTAAGAATGTATGGGTCACAAATTTACTCATCGCTGTCCGCTCCATCATCTGTTGGTGTAGATATTGAGGCTGAGCTAAGGTTGGTTGTGGCTTCAATCTTTTTCTCTGAATTATTATTTTCGAGTGCAATTTATCTATCATTTGCAACTCAATTATGTTTATTGCTATTCAGGATGGAGCGATATAGTCGCTGCTTTGTCGAACTTGAGAAAATCAAGGCTTGTCTTCCCTCTCTAGCCAGGTTAGTTTTTTCTCCTCGTCTACTGGAAAATTTTAGAGCTCAATGGTCCTCTTCTATCTTGAAGTCTTAATCACCTCATGTCTTTATGGCTATGCAGAAGAGGAGGATTGGTGGCTAAGACTATCCATGAAGTTAATTTAACATTCCAAGAAGTCTCGTCGTGATGACTATGTACTTTTTGGACTTAAGACAAAAGCTAATTCTACGAAGCTAACCAAAAGAGTCTACGGAAGACTAACCCTAACCCTCGCGTATTGCATCTAGCCACTGCTCGGCAAAAACCCTTGCGGTGTTGTCTCGGTTTCAAGCTAACTTTGGTGTGTAAAGAGCCATTTCGGCTGTTGTATTGATCTAGCTAATCTTTTCATTCACACTGTTTAGTGATATGTTCTCAAGAGCACAAAAGAGAATCAATTCTATATATAACAAAACTGTTTTCAGAAGATTCAGATCTTGAAGTACTTGTACCCAAAATCGGGATTTGTCATTCCCTCTTCCCAATCTCCCATGCGTTTACCACCGAATACCACTTGTTGAATTCCCAAATACCTGAAATTTCATATCAACAAAAGTTAAGTTGTCTGCAACAGAGGAATTAATCAAGAAGATAAAATGAAGTTATCTTGAGTTTCTTACTCTGAACTCATAACTGTCAAACAGTTGAGAAGCACATCGAGGGCGAAGATGTCAGAAGTACCAAGATCAACCCTGCAACAAACATTGCAATTAAAGTTCAAAGTAATCACACAGTTTCAATGGTTTGGACAAGAAGGGTATGTCGGAACAGATTCTTACCACACACGACCCCAATTGTCCTGAAATTCAACATCGCTGATATCATGGAACGATGAAGGCATCACTTTGAAGCCCTTCTCTGCGTCATAGAGAGGATCATATTCCAGAGATGAGTTTGCTAGCTGCAACCATAGTTAGATAATGTCATTAAGACAATATTGGATAAGTTAGACAAGGAGAGCTAACAAAAAAGAAGAGAAAGAGGCAATGATGAACAAACCTGTAAGTTAGATGTATTGAAAGCGCCCAATCTCCCCATAACATACCATGCCTGTATAACCTGTTAACAAACTCGAGTTTTATTGTGGTCAAAAGAAAGAAACGAAAGAAGCGTTTTGCAATGGCAAGACGAAGAAGAAGAACTTCTTACACTTCCGATAAGATCAACATCTCGATCTGAAGGCGATCCATAGAGCTCAAACCAAATGAAGGAGTCAACAGGATTGAAACTGCAGTTACCAATATAACAATATTGGTCACAGATTCTGAAGTAGTATGTTGCGGAATGCAGACACCAAAGTGAAGCAATGAACAAAACGGAAAAGAAAAAGTTTCTCACTCTCTGAAGTTAACTTTGAAAGAAAGCACAGAGCCTGTCTTCTGCTTCTGAAGATCTTTTCCCTTCTTCCTAACCCTTTCTTCAACCTGAATGAATAGTTAACAATCGATAGAAACAACACATAAACGTCTCTGGACATATGCCAAATGTTGATAGATAACAGAGAACAAAATGTGTTACAGCGAAATGTACAACAAATATCTAAAGCAGAGACCCAACATATTACCTTCTTTCTCATCAGCTCAGGGTTTCCAATGCTATCACCAAGAACAGCTCGAAGCTCTTCATCATCTTTACACGCATTTTCCAGTACCCTGCATTTCAAATTTCCACCAGTTACTGGACGATTCACCAGCAGCTTCACGCTTTTTCGTGGCTTAGGCAAAAACACAAACACTTGGAGTGCAAAATAGAGTGAAAAAAGGAGTACTTAGCCCAAGCTGGGTAATCGTGAAGACGATCGTATTCGCGTTTTCTCTTCTCTTCTCTAACCTTGAGTAATCTCCTTCCCCTCGCCGTCGTCCCCGACCTTTTCTTATCTGCCGACGTTCCGCCGTCCTTTTCACCGGCGAGGTTGTCGGGATTAGCAGAAACAGCGACTAGAATGGGAAGTTTACGCCTGTGTGGAGAAAACGGTTGTGTCTGAGAGACAAGCAAGGGCGAGAAAGCAGGATTGAGATTAATGGTGTATGGAGAGAACGACAAAGGATGATGATTTTTGTACATTTCTTCTTTTTGTAAGCAACAAAGCTCTCAGGTTGAGCCTTTTTGAGTTTTTGTGTTAACAAAAGTTTTTGCTCTTTTCTTTTCACATTCTCCAAGATTTCTCACTAAACTCGTTGTTATCGCATACTAACCCGATTTAATTCTTTATCCGGTTCAGCCGAAATTATCCAAACCAAAAAAAAAACACGACGGGAGGAAGAATG